CCCCCCCCCCCCCCCCCCCCCCCCCCCCCCCCCCCCCCCCCCCCCCCCCCCCCCCCCCCCCCAACCCTTAATTAAAATAGACCATTTTTTCGAAAATTAAATAAAATCATAAAGAACTATGCATAAAAAAAGATAGAAACAAAGCGTAGAATGAGTTATGCTTTATAGAGATTGTAAGGACTACTATTTCCAAGTACTTGACTCTGTGTCGTATGTATAAGATACGAAGTATATTTTGTATACTGCTTTTTATTTCACTTCTTTTCAAACAACTTAGCAATTTACTGCGATATTTATTTTGCATGTTAGAATATATAGCTAAATGCCTGCTAAAATATAATATTTCTCATGGTAATGACGGTCTGGACGAAACTGTTAAGATCGTTGAGAGCAAGAAAAGAAAGAGTAAGCTGATTTTGGAGAATCTTTTAGATAGCCAGAAACAAAAAGGAGGTATCTAGACAACGTTCTAAGGTATTGATCATTCTATTCAGATTTTGAAGTGCTTCCGAATGCTCATTATTGATTTCGTTTCTAGGTCGATAGATACGACTTCCCAAATGAAACACCCAGAGTGATGAGCAGCTGTAGTATTGCACTTAGGTGTATGATAAACTGCGACCAAGCGTAACAAGTAACAGATTACTACCGTAAGAGAAAAAACGACAGCCACATGTACGATACGATCGGAAGGTGTATAGGGACCAAGATAATCTAGGAAGAGGCGGTCACAGGATGTGGAATAGAATATATTGTAAAAACAATTTAAATTTTATAGAGTTATTAAATATGATGCACAGGAATGAATACAATAAAGCAATTTGATCAAACAGAGAACAATACCTAACTGGATATAGTATAGCGAGTATGGGGAGCTAAAGATGATTTTTACCATTCGAAAGAGAAATAAAACTAGATGTCAACTGCGCTTTGTGAAGACTAAAAGTCGATTGAGTGAAACGCGAATGGAACCAGCTAGCTTCTACCTGTGGCAGTACAGTGGTTTAGTAAACTGCTATATTTGTTTTCTCCTTTAGTAACAAAAATATGTTTCGAATTTTATGTACCTACATTTATCTTCTACAGCACATTATTCACACTATCGTATTAACTGATTCATTATTCTATCATACATTCGGCTATAGCTTTCATCATATCGTATCAAGCACTATATAGTAGTATATATTCACTACAAAAGGATATCACCTGGCGATTAATTATCTCATAGGAGAAACAATAGTTTTCTGAAAAATATACTCATTTTGTGGCACTAATTATAGGATAGCTACAGCAAATATCCGAAGACTAACTTCAGTTGTGTCATGTACAACTCTTCTACTTTCGAATCATCTTTTTCTCATATCTGCACGATCAGAAATAACCGAGAGCGATGGATGAAAACATCGAAGGAAAAGGATAGAGAAAGAAAGAAAAACCAGAACACATGGCTCAAAGTGAAAAGTAATAAGCCGACTTAGTTTTACTCAGTCGGCTTAATAAAAGAAGAAATAAGAATGTAAGATGCATGCTGAAAAATTTGATGATCAAAAGTACATTTACTCAAAAAGAGAACTGCTTCATTTGAACGAAGCTAAACAAGTTCAAAATCATACTCGAAGAATTAATTTTTTATTACAGAATAATGTTGCATGATGTAATGCTTTAACAACCGATGCATAGGAGTCTTCTAAGTCAATGTATTTTCCAACGATAGTAATAACCACTTCATCCAATAAACGTTCGCTTCTATATATAAAAAAATTCAATAATCTATCACGTCAAAACGATTATTGAGTCAAAACATTCGACTATTCATATCTTTGCACAAGTGTTTCTATTGAGCACCGCCTATCATTATATGAGATAAAAGCCACAAAATCAGAAGAATTTCTTAGTGTATTATGTAGCCTTAATCGTGATGAGATAGTATGCGTGACCTTTCATTTACAGATATTTTCGAGGACACAATAATAATAACAAACAGGTACGCTTTTTACTATTTCATTAAATATGACATGCTTCTCCGCGGGATAGACCGTGTGTCATGCATGACGAAGCTTGATCCTTTTTTTTCTGTATTAACTTGTGAACATAGATAAAAACGCGAATAATAGATTAGTATTATTAACAATGAGTTATCCACCACTGCCAAATCCAAATCTTCCAATGTTAAATGGCCCACCTTATGGTCCACCTTATGGTCCTATGAATAATGCGAATTTATTACCACCCCCAGGCTATGCTCCTTCAAGACCAAGTCAAGGAAGAACACGTATCATTTTACCTTTAGTCATTGGAATAGCTAGCATTTGTGTACTTATTGGAATGGCATTGGCACTCGGTTTAGGAATAGGTGCAGCAGGATTACTTAGCAAATCAAAATTAGTTTATTATAGTACGCCGCGAACAACAACAAGATCCAGTAGTTCATCAATAATCAGAAGTGATCTGAAGCTATTTTTATGTGTTGTTACCTTTCTGTTAAATCTTTCCATTTGATCATTAACGATCGATCATAATCATGTTTTAATTGTAAATTCAATCGTGAAGCTAAATATTTTGATATTTCATTTTCTTCTAATAATAATGGAACACGATACAATGTTTTTACATCTGGTACACATATCACCTAAACATACGGATACACTAAGATCATTGTGGAAATACTGTTTTATTTTCACCTGTTCTTTGTCTACATGACAGAACATGGATATTTTTTCTTTGGCTGATGCTGTCATCGGCGTATCAGATCGACAAATAATCTTTTAAAAGAAAACAGAAATACAGCATAACTACATATCTTTTCCTTATATGTATTATTTAATATGTTTTCAAGCATCGGTTAAATTTTGATTTGGAAAGAACTAAAAGTATATAAAAGAAACGTTTATCGACTACTTACGAGATCAGGTGTTAAGCCGAATCCACGCAGTTCTCTAACACTATTTTGAGTTGGTTTTGTTTTATGCTCACCAGTTGTACCGGGCTAGAAAACGACAGAACTTAAAGTAAAGCTGAAAAAAATAGTTCAACTGTCAACAGAACGTACTTGTGGAATAAGACTAACATGAACGACACAAAAGTTATCTTTTTTAACCCGAAATTGAAATTGACGAAATGCCTCTACAAATGGCATACTCTCAATATCACCGACTGTTCCGCCAAGCTAAAAAAAAATTATTTTATGATGATAATTAAATATAAATTTTAGATAGATTTCGATATACTTCAATAATGCAAATATCTGGTTCTGCTTTATCTTCATCGACGGATATACACGCAACACGTTCAACCCATTCTTGAATAGCATCCGTAATATGAGGTACAACTAAAAGAAAGATGTTAATAAACACGTGAAGAACAGACCATAAATAAACTCAAATTTCTTTTACCTTGTACCGTTTTACCAAGATAATCTCCTCTTCGTTCTTTATCAATAACATATTGGTATATCTTTCCTGTTGTTATATTATTTTCACGATGTAATGTGACATCCAAAAATCGTTCATAATTTCCTAAATCTAAATCAACCTCACCACCATCATCCAGTACAAATACTTCACCATGTTCATAGGGTGAAAATGTTCCAGCATCGATGTTTATATACGGATCGATTTTAATGGATGTAACACGAAATCCTTGAGCGCGTAAGATTGTTCCAATACTACTTGATATTATACCTTTACCTTGAACATACAAATAAAAGAAATTTGAAATTTGAACTCTTTCGTGATCTTCATAAAATATGAACCTAAACATACCAATTCCTGATATCACACCACCTGTTACCAAAATATATTTGATGAAATTATTTGTGGATGCTATTCGGAGCATCTAAAATATCTTAGAACATCACAAAAGATATTATGTTCCTAACAAAGTAGAAATTTTCGTATATACTATGATTTTTTTTAATGGTAAAGGATTATTTTTACTACAGGATCTTTCGTTAAAGTTTGAATTGTAACAATAGACTAGCAAACTCTCTCATCCGATTAAAGTAGAATAAATTAACTAGTACTGTATCAAGGTAAAACAATTTTTACCATCGTAAGTTTTTTCTCTGCTATCAAAACAATTTTTTCTAAAAACAAAAATACTAAACCATCAACAAAAGAAGGCTCTAAAGGTATATCATTATTATATAGAATAAATCAGAATGGAATAAAATAGCGCTTTTCTATACTAATATCCTAATTTAATCATTCCTTCTTTGACAGACAAAAAAACAAATATATATCATGTCCCTATTTTGAAACACGAACGAGAATAGAGAAAATACAAAATGAAATATTTTAAAAATGAAAGAATAAAAAATATACGCAATAAATCACATACGTGAGGCATCTAACAAAGATGGGAAATTTTTACATTCTTTCTCAGCTGGCCAGAAGAAAATTTTCTTCTGGTCAGCTGAGAAAGAATGTAAAATGTAAGAAATTGTAAATACATTTTCTTACATTTCCCATCTTTGTTAGAGTCTATTCAAATATGACCGATAAACTGATAACAATTGATGAAATGATGTGAACAACATTCTAGGTCAAATTTATCATTTCAAACAATAAAACACATGTTTCTTCTGATATATTCCTATTTGTAATTCGAACGAGATTGTGTTTGAACTACATAAATACTGCTGACTACCTTTTTTTCACAAAGGAAGATTGATTGCTGGGAATTTATAGTAATATTACAAACTAGACCCAGTAAATCATGCCTGTGGGCTAGGGAATAACTTTAAATCATCACATATATTAGAAATAGAGTAATTTTTTAACTACTTTTCAACAAAACAATAACTTTTGGCTATTTTCCAAAGCAGTGGAATCATGGTTACATTATATTACTTTTAAAACCAAAGAAAAGAAAGGAAGATCCCTTCACTTATCGTCCAATTAGTTTTTTAAGTTGTAATGGAAAAATTATGGAGAAGATAATGAAAGATCGGTTTTAGTCTAGAAATTCCTGGGCAAATTTTTACTTTTTAGAAAATTCCGTGGATTTTCTAGTTTATAGAAAATCAAAATCGAATTTCCAGATTCTTGGAAATTATTTATAGAAATTCGTTGATTGACTTTCTATAAACCAGAAAATCTCCGGCGTTTTTCCAGTTTATAGCGCTCCACCTTTATAGAAAATCGAATTTATGGAAATTCAACTCGATTTTCTATAAAGTACCTCGGCGCTTTTTCGGTCGATTTTCTATAAAATGGAAATTAATTTAAGATTACAGTGTAGACAGCAAGAATCACTCGGCCGTCATCTTTTTCGATAACCAGCAGACGTCTGATTTTGTTTGGCATACTGGTTTAATCTACAAATTATTCGATCTACAACTATCGGACTACATCACTCGTTGAGTAATAGCTTTTCTGCCTGAAAGAACAATGGCAGTTGAGTTTGAAAGTTTACTATCAAACAAATTTAGTTTAAAAAGCGGAGCCGTCGGGGTATAAAAAAAATACAAAAATCCCACTGCAGTGACTGTTGGAACAACAACAGTAAGGGCACCACCGTATGTAAGGTATTTAGGCGTGATTTTCGATCAAACTCTCTCGTGGAAACATCATATTAAACACATCGTACACAATCGAGAACCGGTCTGCTACGGTTTCTCTGAACATCATCACCACAATCTAATCCTAGAATAATGATCAACTTCTTTAATCCTTACACCAGTGTGATGTATGGAGCAACAGCGTTACTAAAAGCAGACGATAAACTATGGAATCAGCTGCAAATACTGCAGAACAAAGGACTAACCCAAGCAAAAACGACCCAATTTTTTGGGTTATTTATCTAGATTCAGCTCCACGTACATCTAGATGCACGTGGACCTGAATCTGGATAAATAACCCAAAAAATTGGGTCATTTTTGCTTGGGAAGAACAGCATTGAGGATACGATGCAATCAAATACATTCATCAAAATAGCAATTTATCCAACTTAAAAGATTATTGTAAACAACTAACTGAGCGATCACTTTTTCGAGCAAAAGAGTATGAAGATGACATATCAATAGAAAACCTATATGATCTTTCCATTTAATTGTTAACACAGTGTTAAGTTTCTTTTTGTTCTTGTCATTTTTTGACAAAAGACTTCGGTCATCAGTCAGCCCTGGAAATAACTATCTTCTGATTTATGAGTAAAGTTTACTCAATAAACTGTTGTTTCCTCAGATATATATACAGATTGATATAAACGATATTGATTATCAGATGCGAGAAGCCGGAAAGAAGAAAAAGAAAGAAAGATAACAATAAATTCCATCTTGAATATAGACATGAGATGTGAAGTATTTCACCTTTCTTTTACTAGGGATTTTTCACTGGAAAATTCTTCTAAAAATGTAAACAGAAGTAGTGATCTATCAGTACCATTAAGGAAATCTCTCATGAATTACGAATGACTCTCGCATCAGTAGCCGATAGTTTTTATTGTCATCTGCTAATATTTTAATGTTCTTAAAATCAATTGTATGTCCTGTTTGTAGCACATGTGTTTGCTTAAGGGTGATTTTAGTTTATAATCAGAAATATGTGTACTCGATGAATTGTTATTGGTTGTTTATATTTATTTATTATTTTATTGTATTAAACTTCGTTTTGCTAGTCGATCACTACGCACTAAATTTTCCAGATGTTTTAAAATTTTGTCACTTAAAATCTTTTTATCTTTAGTATGACCAGTACTTGAATTTTGTACTCATATTTTGTATTAAATCGATCTTTATCCGGAAAAATTTTGTTTAATAGTATTTGGTATTTTATAAATGACTATTAATCCAGATTTATAAGATTGAGACAATTTGTTTTAGTTGCTTGCAAAGATCATAAATCCGTTTACCCAATAAATGGTATTTAAAATAAATTTAAGTATGTTAATTAATTTCTGTATCTTTGTTGCGATCTATGTTTGAAAGTGAGCTACGATTTTGAAACACAGCTATCCCATTTTATCTTCAGATTTATTCATGTTTTCTTTCTCTATATCCTTGTAATAAATTGATGATTTTTCCGTTTAACTAGTACGTCTAGAAACGGTATTGTCCTTTTTCAGATATAAACTTTAAACATGAATGTAAACGATTCTACGTATTTTAGATTGAACTTTTATCAACATTATTCTTTCAAATAGTGAAAGCATCATCCACATATCGATGTCATGCTAATATTGAAAGATTAACACATTAACATTCAACTTAAATTTACCATGGACAAAAAGTTTGTCTTGGTAAGTACTTGGCATCCCGAAATCATAAAACCGCATGTTTGTTGGCTGATTGGCACATTTGCATACCGATCGCTTTACAATTCTTGTGAAACTTTCTCTTAACTGCCTCTAAAAATCTCATGGACGTATTGCGATTAAACTATTAAAACACGAACGAAGACTCCATAGCCGATCAATATATCCGTCATGAGCGTTCATTATTTTCCGTTAAAAGCTCATTTTTCTTTAATCATTTTGCACATAGAACATAACTTTACTACAATACGTAAACTAAAAGTATAAGTTGTTAAAAAAATCACCAAAAGTAAAAATCCACCGAGTTATAATAAAAGAACAAAAGATATAAAACAAACATGCAAGTGATTAAATAAGTAAAACTTTATACAAAGAATAGATGTATACATCATAATACACATATATCTTTTCACTGTTTTGGCAGACCATCGCTTAAAAAACAACATAGAATAGCATAGAAATAGAACTGCATACAAAAAAACAAAAGCCACATCATAACAAAGAAAATGACAAACATATTCTATTGAAATACGAATAAAGAAAGACGCTAATCACAGAGAGAAAATTCTAGCTCATAAAAAAATATAGAAAAATGTTTTTTCACTTGAAAAAGATACAAAAATGAAATGGAATAAAAGAAAAAAGTAACGAAGGAAGACGGAATGTTTTTATCAAAATAGAATAGGTTTACAAAACATTCTAGTCTGTGCAAAAAAAGATTATATCAAATGAGTGAAAAAGGAAAAATGTCATTTATTTTTCTTCATTTTGCTGTGATTTTAATAGGATTAGGTTTTCTTATCAGTTGAATTGTATTTTCCGGATGCAGCCAAACTATTTTGCTAAAAGTAAAACAAAAATAATAGATATTTTTCAACTATTAGCTTTGTTACTTACTTTAGCTAATCGAACAAATTCTTTTTGTGCATGTTCAATATTTTCTTTATTTCCCTTCCAAGCTTTTAATACCGATGATTGTAATGCACGACCATAACTGAATGATAATGGCCACGGCTTGTGCAAAGTAACTTTATTTATCTCATTTAAAAATACTGTAGAGTTTTCTTCAGTATGACCGCCTGAGATGGAAAAAAAGATTTACAGATGTAAAAAGCTTAATATTACAGGCGCTCTTACCAGATAGAAATAAAATGCCAGGAACAGCTGCTGGCACCGTTCGGCGTAATGTTTGTACAGTGGCAAGAGCTATTTGCTCAGGTGTATACTGTTTTGTGCATGCTTGTCCTAAGAAAACAAACGTATTATAAAAAGAATCAATACTAACGTTAAAAATAAAGAAAGCCGTGTGGGCGTAATAACGTCTACTTAACAAAATTAAAATTGAAGCAAAAAAAATACAACATCACAATTCTTTCTGTTCTACTTACCAGCGGTGACCATGTTTGGCTTCAATAATGTTCCTTCAAGATAAACATGATGATCACTTAAAGCTTTATAAACGGCAGCTAACACTTTTTCTGTTACTCGCTGACAAGTTTCCAAATCATGATCTCCATCTTGAAGAACTTCTGGTTCAACAATGGGAACTAGACCGGCCTTTAAAATAAAACATTGTACAACAATAAAATATGTACACACATAGAAGACGGATTTCGGAAACAAACCTGCTGGCAAATCGATGCATAGCGGGCTAAATTCTGGGCATTATCATGAATGGCTAATTGTGACGGCATATTTGGACCAATTTTAATGACAGCACGCCATTTTGCAAATTGTGCACCATCATTTTTATATGTTTTACATCGCTCTTCCAAACCATCGAGGCCTGAAATCAAGTTGTGCATATTTATATGTTCATAACTTTAACTAAACCTGCGTTTTAAGTTAGATGTGTATACCTTGCGTTGTCGTTTCTCCGTTTGTACCTGCCAACAGCACTGTTCCTTTATCAACTTTAATTCCAGGCGTAATACCATTTTCTTTTAATAATGTTGTAAATGGTACTCCATCAGCTGTTTTATGATACAATGTTTCATGATAAAGTATTACACCACTAATATGTTCTGCTATTGCGCTTTTATCAGTTTTAAATAATAATTCTCTATAGGCTCGACGATTTTCTTCATTGTTTTCCACATTTATCGATGAGAATCGATTAGCGATTGTATCTGATGAAAATAGTAAAAAACAATTATTAATTAGAAAACTTAAAAGAAGATCGAAATAAGCTTACTTGAACTTTCATCTGCTGCAAGAATTCCTGTAAAACAAGATGCATTAGCAAAATAAAGTTTTGTTTAATTCCACTAGTATTACCTTTTCCTGGTGCAGCAATGGTCGTTGCAATTTGTGCTAATTCTTTTTCTTGGTCTTTCGAGAGATAAAATGCCATTTTGTTTTGATGGTATACACAAATCTAGAATCAAGCCACCACATGAGTTAAAAAAAAATCATTATCCATTGCCTGGAAAAAGTACTCATTTGTGACAGACGAACGTTTTTGGAACAATGATCGTATTTCCGTAGAGAACGTACTTGATTACTTGCTGAGTACTTGTCAATGATCGAAATACTTCCCTTATTGCTAAGAAGTACTTTCTGAAAGTACTTGGCAAGTAAGGACAGGTACTTACAAATAATTTTACTCCTGGAAAAACGGCAAGTACCGGTTTCGTTACGCAGATGAAGTACTTGGTCCAAGTACGTTCTCTAGGACTGGTGTTTGTCCGTCACAAAATGAGTACTTTTTAGTCAATAAACAAACAGAACAAAGCTGTGAGAATATATCCGCGAAGTCGTTCATAACACCAAATTTTTGCATTTAATAGATACTATCAAAACCGAAAGATTACTTTCACAAGTAGAAGAAACTAAGAATCGAAAGAATATAACACATATTGAGAGAATACTCTCTTCAAATTCAAACTAAATATTAAATAAAATTATATTCTACCAGGTAGTGTAGAGAAAAGGTAAACATGCTCGAAACACCTAGATTGCACGAAAAAACATGAAAAACTCAATGTCATTTTTATTACAAATCAAATAACGCATTACCCACTATCACATATCTGTAAAAAGATAAAATAAAGGGTCATTTTGTACTTTATCATTCTTCTCTCGTACCATAAGAAATGAAAAGTAACGAATGAAGAAAATTTGGCATATTTATACTCATAACAAACATTCACTTTTATTCCTGACAAATGTGAGATATTAAAAAGAGAAACTGAAAAAAGGTGTGGTCAGAAGTGGAAGGCAATTGGTTAGCCATTGTGACAGCAACTTTTCGATTCATGTTTATAATTCGTTAAAAGTGCTCCACAGACTTGTAAGCTACCAATGCAGTCTACGAATGATTCTTTTAGGTACAATTCGAAACTTCATAGCAATTGAAAAATATTTGTTTTACCTATTGTGAAATCTTCATAGCCCATAATAAGCACTTCGTAATTCTGCCTCAGCATCGAACTTTATGTAGATGCTGGCTTCATGGATCGATCAATCCTACTCAGTTGGACGTCTTTTCTTTCATCATTATCTAAACTTTCAGCTGACATGTGAATGTCGTAAAAGCCACTTATACAAGTTTTGTAATAATATCTTGCGATGCTTGTTATCTACTGTTATAATGAAGTATTATTCTTGGACCAGTTTCAGAGCTCGTTTAATTATTCACCCACACAATTAGGTCGTGGTTGTGGGTAATATATAACAGGAGGTAGTCCGTAACTGAAGTACGAACGAGAGTTTACTGAAAAAGACGAATTTATTGATGATTTAAGTTAAAAAATCACCAAAGGTGTTCTACCTTAACACGGCGGTTCCCGCCAAATATATAATCAAATAAAAAACGTGATTAATAACGAATATTCAAGGCGAAATGATGATCGATACTTGTGCAGTGCAGTTTAATCACGATCTATGAACTTTCGCACTGCAAACAAACATGAGAATGAATAAAGAATATGATCTACCTGATGAGAACGTTGCTTTAGATTTGAATAAATCTTCTATAACCAGCCGCTTCGATTAAAAAAGAAATGGGCTCCAATATTAGTAAAATTGAAGATGCAGTATATGACTTTTATCGTAGAAATTATCCGGATGTTTGGTTTTTGGCACCGCCCTTTCTTGCTTCGGTTGGAGCTATAGGATTCGTTGGTTACTCATTTGCAAACAACAGAGCAGTGCCATCATCACCAAATGTAAGCTTTTCACACTTACTTGGAGTAGCCGGAGGTATGTTTTGAGATCAGATCAAACAAAAACTACTTTTGAAGACACTTGTGGTTCAATTTTAGGCTTTGGTATCAGCTTTTGGATGAATACGGTTCATGGTAAAGAGTTTAAATCTTCTCAGTTTTATATTCCTTAACGTTAACTTCTGTTCATTCGACTTCTTCGTTTTGTAAAGGTACAGCAATGTTTCGATTATTAACGCGCCAAGATTTTGGTACAGTTCAATCGCATATATCATCTGTGTATTTTTCATCAACAGCCGTACTAGCTAGTCTAAGTTTAGGAACATTTTTATTGCGTCATCCATACAATACATGGTCAAAAGACGCTGCAAACTTGGTGAGAAAAATTTTCAATGGAGGATCGGAGAAGACGTGAAGATGAGACTCTATTTACTTATTTTCGTCTATTCTAGGGTATTGCATTGACTGTTGCATTAATATGTGCTGAAGTAAATAGTATTGTAAGTAATCATTGTGTTAGGCATGTCGCTTCACATGTCATCTATTTTATTGTCGTTCTATTTCCTATCTGTTTGTCAAGTAGAAATATTAAATTTTGATAGTTTCCTTATTCATACGTCATTACTTCTTTTAATATAGATATGTAAGAATGAACCACTAGATTTAACTGTCTTTCTGTATCACAATTAAAAATGTTTTAGTCACATATCTTATATTTATGGAAGATTTATGCAGAATCTATCTACCGGAATTTTGTATATTTAGGTATTATCTCCATTGGTGACAAATTTAATGTTTGATCGAAATAATATTGAATTTATTCAAAGTGCAAAATCATCGGATGAAATTGAAAAATTACATGCTGAAGATCCAAAATATCGTATAATTAGTAATAAATTTAGTTTATTTCATTCACTATCACTTGCCACTGGATTGGGTATGTTCTTGATATTAAATAAAAGACAAATGGAGAACATTGACATGAGTTTTTTTAAATTTTAGTATATCATGGTTTACAATGGTATCATCTATGGTTTCTTGCTGATAAATGTCTAGTTTTATAAATTTGAGAAAAAGAACTCACTGTCAACCACAAGCGTAGTGTAGCAAATACAGAAACTGTTTTTCTCTTTTAATTTTTTTGTGTACTATTGACTTGATCTGTCGACCACTTTAAATGATGTTTCTGGCGTCGCCGGTGTCATAAAGTCATACCTTGTCATGTTTAAAATATAATCTCAGCATTGACCTTTCATATTTATCGCTTAGCGATGTAGTTTGTGTTTGTTGATTTTTTCTATGATTTGTTTATGTCTTTTGATATATATAACTATTCGTCTATCCTTCCGTGTGTTTGTTTGTGAACGGTGTGGTTTGAAAAGGAGTTACTAGTACTTTAGAACAAATATTCATTTCAACACTAATTTTGATTAGGATTATTATTAGTTTCATTACTTTCTGTTTATGTGTGTATTTTTTTCATTTTTTGTCATCTAGTCTTAAGCTCTATTGTGTGTTTGCTATTAGATCTTATCAAAATACCAAAAAGTTGTAATCATTTATATTTTCCATTTTTCTTTATAAAGCTTAAAATAAATGAATGTAAAAAAAGTAACCAGAAGAATGACGAAGAGATACTAGGATTAAGTTAATCAGAGTTTATGTTTCTGATTAATCGTTGTGATTATATTGATAGAACGTCTTCAGAATTGTTCGGCTGACAAATAGGAAATAGTCATTTGCAAGTACCATCATAGTTTACTGTTAGTTTTCGTATGGATTAGAGAATCAATTAAAAGAACTGTGAACATTTAAAGTTTGATAAAAAGACACATAAGTATATCTTGTTTCTTAGTAGTATTCAAGCAGTCATGAAAGATGCAGATCTTTGAGTATTCAATTTTCTATTTGCAAATCCGACCGTTTTTCGAAGAAAAAAATGAGAAGCAGAATTCGAATTCCAGTTTGTAGTTCCTATAACGGAGATGATTAAATGTGTTACTGATTGTCAAAGCGCACGTGATGTTATTCAGTAAAGAGTACATTGTACTTTCTTTTCATGAGAATAGAGTATTGTATGCTATTTAGTTTAATGATCTTTCATTCGCTTCCTCAAAAAACGTTTTGAGAGCTTCATTAATCAGTTTTTTTTTATTTTTCTTTCGATAGGTATTTCAAATGTGCAATTGAATAAGAATAAAGTGAACGCAATACGTTTTAAATACAAACTACATGACTGAAGCACTTTTTCATAACGAATTTTTAATTTTGTTTTCATTAATGTTTGCTTTGTTTTATAGATGTCTAATTTGTTCGACGACGATTTTAATGATGATCTTAATGCGATGAATACGGATTATTTTCCAACAACGACAAATAATCCTCAAATACCAGCAGTAGATGTTCAAGAAGAAATGTTACTGTCTCATTATACTGAGGATCAACAGGTGGCTAGTAATGAAGCACCTGCCATAGATGATGGAACTGATACACCGATGTCACTAGATGAATTACAAGATTTTTATTCAACATTAGATGCGTTTATTCCAGTTATACCAGAGACAGTAACAAAATATTATATGAGACAATGTGCGTTACAAACAAATGATGAGAGATTAGTGAAATTATTATCAGTGTCTGTACAAAAATTCATATCAGGTCAGTTAAACCTCGGTCAGAACTTCTAGCTATTCTATCTTATTTGATGTTTTTGTTTAGAAATCGTGAACGATTGTTATCAACTATGTAAATTACGTGAAAAAACAACAAATCGAACGACAACAACGAACACTAATAATGCAACAACAACTATCACAAATGCAAATGTAACTTCTTCGTCTGTTGATCCAACAAACACTAACACTAATGAAGAAGCTACGACGTCTACACAATTAGCAACAACAATAACTAAAGAGAGAAAATTGCCGGCTACCTTGACATTAAATGATTTAAGTACGGTTTTATCAGAATATGGAATTAACATGAAAAAAACACTGTATTATACGTGAAGAAAGGTTCCAGAAATATATTCTATTTTGTATATACACATCTTTGTCACATTTTTGCTTTTTTTTGTCTGACGAAATAAATTGGACAGAAAAGTTCAATTGACATAGCAATGCTAGAGACTGATTTGGATAAATCTACTTGGTATAGCTGCCAACAACGATACGCCGTTCAGTACATTTTTTCATTAGAACGGCACGAAATCAAATGAATATTTCTCTTCATATCGCTGCTATAGTGCTGATTGATACTAAGAGCCAGACGTGGCTCGAAAAGTTTTTTCGTTGCGCAATTTATTTTGTAGACCCTAAAATCGTTCTGTTGGCAAAAAAACTCTAGAAAGCAGAGGTGCGGTGCTTCCTTCCTCTAGCCATTGACTGTCCAGTTTCTTTTAAGATCTATAATTCAAAATACATTGGCCTAAATATGGTCTAAAAGTAACACGGTAAAATAAGAGACTTTCTCTATTGTTTGAGACATCGGAAAATGTTAATTTCTTTGGCTTATTTTGCGCTTTTGTTCAGTTATTCTGCTTTTAGCTAAAACTAAAAACGTCTAAACTGTACAGTTTCATGTGATCGTAGCATCATATGAATCTAAGATTTCATTTACTTACTTCTATTTCTCTTGTTGTTATTCTATTTCAACGGCTCTACAAGGTTAATAAAAATAGTCTTTTCGACATCTATTTCACAAAATATCGACTTAAAGAATGACGACGCTTCAACTCGAATGTTTGTATATGCCTTCTATGGTCGAGAAAGCATTGCGCATCTATTGCACGTCTGATGAAAACAAAAGAAAAAAGAAATTCCTTATCGAACAACAATGTTATCATGGATTATCAAAAATGTTCTCTCTATAGTTTCGAGTGTATATCTTTTTCAGAACCCTTTGTGATCACTGTTTTCGAAAATATATCAGAGTGAGCGAGAGACTGTACTGAGACGAAGTTGTTTATATAACACAAGAAAATAAACGTTTCGTGATATCACAATTAGCATAAATTGAATTGTTTGTTCATTGTACGATTGTATCTGATGAGGTCCGATCGTTATAATACATCACTACTATATTGTTGTTCTCTCGAATTTTAACAGAAACCAATTCCGCTTAGAATAACAGAATACACAGTGGGCATTTTTTGCTAGAGCAGGCGGACTTTAGCTTTATGAGCGAACTAAAATTTCATGAACCATTTTTTTATAGGTTTTTCATGATCCTCTTTCTAATGGCACGAGAGATGGGTTTTGAA